CCACAACGCCAGGCTATTTTTTGGTTGCAGCCATTATTGTTGTTTGGCGGGCCCGGGCTGGGAATTCGAACCTGCCACCTTAGGTATATGTGGCTGGCACCTTAGCTACTTGAGCCACAGGCGCCGAGCCTGTAAATGGTTATTTTTTAATGTGGCAGTCAGTTTTGAAGAACAGTATACTAAAGGTAGTGGCAAGACCCTCAAGGACATGCTTCACTTGTGACAGTGAAGTATAGCAGAAATAACCCTGAATTAGGATGACTTCTGTCCTAGTCTTTACTCTGTCTCGTGTGACTTTGTCAGCTCTGTAGGCTTTAGCTGCTTTCCTGTTACCTCCTCCTTGAACACAACCCCACCACCCTCTAAATTTCACAGAAGGTATATCTTCATCATTATAGGATAGTTATTTTATTTATTTATTTTTTGTACTCAGTATACTTTACCAAATACTCTTATCCTGAGCTGGCATCTGCTTATTCCCAGTGTTACAGGGGCCTTTAATTTCTGGTCCATTTGGCTAGAAAAGTTCTCATTTTACTTGGGTTGAGTCAGCCTGGTATGTTTGATATAGGATGCTTTGATATTGTTTCCCAGTTGTAGGCTGGATAAGTGTTCTGTGATGCAGAGAAACACTGAATGGCTTCTGAATGTGGATACGAAGCAAATAGTTATGAATTCACAGATTATTTGAACAGCTTGTTTGGACAGCTGCCTGCATTTTTAAAAACAATTCTTTAAAACTTTTGAAGCAGCAAGCCCTTTTGAAAAGTATATACTTTGAAATAACTTCACCCTGTCTTTTTGGCCTCAGCAATAACTCACTTTTCCTAAAGCAATTATTATCAGTGTAAACTCTTACAATCAGTGCCAAATGTGAAACATTAGGCTTTGACCTATTGAAGTGTAGTTTTTCTGGGAGAAAACAATTTTTAAATCCTTTTGTTTTTGAAGTTTGTATTGCTTTCTATGTATTACTGGTGATTGTATATATAGTATTTAACAATTTGTGTATTAATGATAGCTAGATCACATATGTTTTTAGGGGTTTTTTAAATATTTGATTTTTGTAGCTATAAATCACGACCAGAATGCCTTTACTATAATCTTTACTATAGATATCACCATAATCCAGAGACTGTTATGCCTCAGCCTCTTCTTTCACACAATATTTGAGGAAGAAAATTAAAATGAAGATAAATCCCTTAAAGTCAACTTTATGACTTGCTTATTTTAGTTACTGAATAGTCAGAGATCTTTATGATGAATACTAGAAACCTGTTGAACTATCTGTAGAATGGTACCACCAAAGGCCTGGATGGATAAATTTTTTAGTTTGACTATATTCTGTTTATTTGGTCCCCCCACCCCTTTAAGGCAACCCTGATTAATAAACAACACTGAGAATTGTTTAATGCAAAACAGATGTTGTTAAACCACTTGGGGTTGAGATCTTTTAATATTAAGCACTAATTCCTAAATAGGCCAAATGCTTTTAGTGGGAGGTCCAGACAGACTGGCGTCAAAGGGTTTAGTAAACTTGCTGCCTAAATTAAGAC